CCAGTTTTGGTGACCCGGTGGTTCAGCTAATGTGTCCCCCTACTAAAGGACCTGGTTGCTCAGTTCTCTGATCTCAGTTTCTAGTTCCAAATTCAGTCTTCTTGTAGCATCATTGAAAGTCATACTACCTTCTGACTCGGGACTTGCCAAACGGGTTTTCAGTTATTCTGGTTCCTTGGATTTATTGCGCCAAAGCTTCTATTCTAAATAGTGTGACCAAGATTACAGATTAGGATTCAACCAATAATGATAGCTATTAACCATAATGCAGAGCTATTTTTCAAAAGTGTCATCCTTGGGATTTGAACTCTAGACCTGCCGTTTGGGGGTGTGACAACTCCACCACTTCACTAAGTTACCACACTCTTTTTTACTATAAATTTTTTTTTTTAAATTTTTTAAATTTTTATATATTTTTATCTTTAAAAAAATTTTTGCTTCTAATACAAGTTTAATTTTTATTAGTAAATTATTAAAGATATAATAATAAAAGTTGGCATTTTTTATATAAACTATAATATTGTATTAAAAACTATAAGTTTAAAACTAATATTTTAAAAGTTTGTTAAAAATTTGTAAATAATTTTTTTAGTTAAAATTTTTTTTAAAATTTATTTGTTTTTAGCTTACAGTATAAGCAATCCAAACTTTTTTTCTTATAGAAAAAATCTAAATGGTGCCCCCATGCACTTTGTGCCTCTCTAAGTTTTGATAGCAAACAAAGATAAAGACTAATATTAGGGTTAGGGTTAGAGTTAGTATTAGGGTTAGGGTTAAAGTTTTTTAGGCTAAAATTGCAAGAGGAACATTTTTCATTAGTTACACAACAGGGTTATCCTAGTAAAATTTTTAGATATTAGCAATTTTTATAGTAAAGAGCACACAGTGCATGGGACACCATCTAGTCTAGTTCTTTCTTATAATATAAAATTAAATACTATATACTATAATATAATCTTTATTTTCAAATATTATCAAAAAATTTTTATTTAAATATTTTAAATTTTTAAAAAATAAATCATAAACAAATTTATAACAATTTTCCAGGCAAATTTGTCTGGAATTGTCTACAGGGATAACTAATAAGAGGATTATAAAATAAGAAAAAGAAAAATTAATGAGAAACAAAAAAAAAACCCCCAGAAAAAAACAAAAAGGGAAAAAACAAAATAAAAAAAAAACAACAGTTCCCTGAAAGAAGAATAAGGGCACTACTATAACCTGTGCAAGGTCTCGATAAAAATTATATACAAAACAAAAGAAAAACAATATTGTATATCTTTAGTGCAAAGTTTTGCCTTAAGCATAATCCACGACATTAAAATAATACTAACTTTCGAGAATTAGAATTTTCCTAATGTTAATATGAAAAATTTTAAAGCATTATAAGCTAACGTGAAAGACTTGCTAAATTGTTAAACAGCATGCTTTCTTTACGATTTCAACTAATGGGGAGAATACAAAAATAGAATTTTTTAATGGAATGAAGAGAGATCTCTAAGTACACGTTTTATGAGCTCACATCCTCTATACATGCACCTTGCGCTTCAGTTATAGCCATTAATAACCTACAACATTACACACTCTCTTAATTAACACCTATGAGAGAGAATCAAATTCAACACATCCAATCAAACTTTATCGCTACTTTTTTTATAGTCATGTTACACGTGGTCATGAATCTTGATTGGATAACCCCAAATGTCACTGCATTTCACCTGAACATAGTAAGTTCTTCGCTATGTTCACTCTTAAATCGGGACCAACAAAAACTTTCTCGTAATCCAATTTTTTCTTAGTTGTATATCAAGAGATCTCTATATAATGAATTTAGATAAGGAAAGAACTTCTAATCCTGGAAAAGGTTTTGGAAGTTTAATGGGCGATGATGGTGGAAAAGGTATTACCTATTTCTATTGCATTAACTTCGTTACTTGTATCAATGATACTAAATTCTTATCGACTCCATTACGAAGAATCCATTGCAAAATTAATAGCTGACGTGAAAGATGAAGATGCCTTAAAATTAATTCAAGCCACACAAAAAAATTTATATCAAAAACATCATAGTTTCAATGGTATAGAATCGGTGGGTCAAAAATCTTTTTCGCGCATTGATGGTATTTTCTGAATTTTACATTCATATATGTTTATTTGCTTGGAATTTTATATCTTAAAAAATATTAATCATTTTTTAGCACCTCAGGATTATGGTTTTTATCCATCTGAGACCACCTTGTCCAATTCTAGAATGTGCAAACAATATCTCGAAAATAAATATCACGTAATATTTAAGATTATTAATAATAATGATGTATATAATCCTCTTTTGGTTGTTAAAAATCGAAAAGTCGATGTTAATAATGAGGGAATAAATGACCATAGTTCGATATCTGTTAATAAAGTTCGTCAATCAATAAATCGTGGGAAAACTGGTGGTTCTGCTTCCCGGCGAAAAACGCCAAATCCATGGCACGTTACGCACATGGAAATTATAAAAGACTATGAACAAAGAAATAACATTAGTGATATGTCTACTTCTTTTAAAAACTCTGATTTAGAAAGTTCTAGTTATAATAATGTTGATCACGTACCTCAAAATTCCCTACTTCATATGGGGTCTGAACTTGTTACTACCAAAAAAAATTTACCTTATCGTAGATTATCCCAAATTTTTGTTCCTCCATCGCAAGAGAAAGAAGAATCAAGACTGCCAACAGAAGGTGGACGTCGTGGTGGAAAACATTCGAGAACTTTGAGCTTGAATGAAGATATCACGTCACCTTTAACCAAAGATGATCATCAAAGCAAATCTAAAAGGGGTTTATTAAGCATATTCAAGCGTAAAGATAGAAAACATAATAAGCGAGGTCGATCTGATACAGAAATTGATGACAATGGTGATGGTCAGGTTGGAGCAATCAAAGAATTAGTGGATCACTCTTCATCTTTACCGACAATTAATTTATCTTCGGGTGATCCATCTCCTAAAAGTTCTTCTGAAGATGTTAGACCTTTGCCTGAAAAAGATAAAGATTTCCTAAGCATCTCAAATAATGTTAATGTATATCATTCTAATAATGACTTGGCTGAGTATGGTGTAAAATATGACAATGAAATGCTCAAAAAGCCAAATCGTGACACTTTGATCGTGCTTTCTGATGACACTTCTATGTATGCGGGTTCTAGCAATGGTTCTTCGGCGAGGCATTCTATGGAATTCGACTCGATTAAAGTATGTTAATTATCATTTTTAGTATAATTTATTCCAGCGGCTTATGCTGAAATTGGTTGATGCAAAATTTAGAGTCACCATTTAAATCCATAATGTCTACTAAAATTCATTTATATATTTTTATTAAATAACTCTTGCACTAACCTTAAAAAAAACTATTTATTTGAAAAGAATACCCAAATGGATATTTATTTATCTTCGCATTCTACATCCGAAGCCTTACATGTTGAAGATCATCTCAAAAAACTCAGCGAAGATGAAAATGTAAATAATAAAATTATAGACAATAGTTCTGAATCTGAAGGTTATTATAAATGTAAATTCATACTAGTAATAGTAATATTTTTTTAATATGAAGATAACAAAATTTATCCGCTATTAGAGGACACTAAAGACGATGAATTAGATGAAGATGATAATATTGATGAAACAATTAATGTCGATCTTGATGTTCTTCCACCAAATTTAAGGAAACTATACCAAAAAGAGAATAGTCGATATGGTATGCGTGTCACACATATAAAGTATTTTTTTCCCACGTTTAAGTTACTCATTATAGACATTTTCTAGTGGAATTGAATATCAGATCAAATGATGATTTCAAGTTTAATAAATTTGTTCGCCGTAAAAGTAGGTCTAAGTTTGAATTAGATAAAACTTTATACGATCTCCGGATATCTCTTGTTGGGGATGCATCTCATAATCAGAAAAGGTATATATACTTGATAATTGGGGTTTTTTTTTTTCATATTGTTAAATTGGAGACCAATCTATCATGATTTCATAATTTTTGAACTTTAGAATTAATCAGAACGAAACATCTTTGTTGATTGAACGATGTGATGATTATATCAAAGAAGCAACAGAATTGTTTAATAAACATGAGGTATTTAATATCTGTTATGTATTTATATGCTGATTACACAATTTATTTATATTAAATATTATTTAAAGCAAATTCTATTAGATAAAGAAGAAATTATAGTTAAAAATAATTATCGTTCATTTTCATCACAAAGTCTAACTACTGAAGGATATCACACACCCATGGTATATGAATTGAAAAAAAATATTGATGAGAAGACAAAATCCTTGAATGGTTCACTGATCAATATTGAAAATACAGCAAATAAATTAAAAACTCAACATAACAGGTATCATTTCTAGAGTTTACTTATGTGTTAGATTTGATAATAATAATAATAATAATAATAATAATAATAATAATTGTTTTTCTATATTAATTTGAATAGCATTTCTGAGGAAATGAAAGCTATGTTTGAGACATTTGAAGATATTTCACTCTCTGTGAATCATGATTACTTTCATGAGGTTTGTAATTAATCATTACTTCTGTTATTACATGTTTTCCTAAATTTTAATTATCGCACTATCAACTCTAATAATTCGTTAGCTAAAAATTCTTGAAGATAATATTCACATCTTAGTTTCAGAGAGTGGAAAATCTCTTTTGTCAGATATATTTTACTTAATGTTGTCTTATGTGCTTGCTGGTAAATACAATAATTTATTTGCTATAACAGATTAGAATTTAATAACAAATTTATACTAATTTTTTTTTTTTTTTTTTTAATAAGGAATAATGTTTATATTTTGGTTTTTAGTAGCTTGTTTTAAATTGGGTAGAAGAATATTATCTCTTTCAAGAACATTATGGGGATCCGTAAATTCATAATTTAGTAATTGATTTTTTTAAAATTGATTAATAATATATATTGTAAAAAACAAGAAATTTTTAATTTTTAATAATTAAATTTAAGCCAGTTATTTGTAGATTTTTTTCTATATATAATTTAATAATTTTTTAAATAAATTAAATTATTACAAAAAAAAAATACAATACTAAATAAAGCAATAAATTTGTGACTATTGTGAGTCAAGGGAGTCTTCCGTTATCAGGATTTTTTTATCACAACAATCAAGTAGTCTAATTCTAATTCTTGAACAAGTTTAGCATTTATTTTATGAACAATCCTGTATACTAGCCTAATTTATGTTATTATCAAAAATTCATTTATTTTAAACACCATCTCTTTCGATAACTGATTTGCTTCTTTCTATTCTTCTGTCCATTACGAAAAAAATGCAAAGCATCATCAAAAGAATATATCGCATAATCTTCAAACATTCTTTTCTAGTCTGTGGTCCAATTTAAATTCATTTACGTAAAAGCGCGAAATAACACCCAGGAGTGTAATTTCGAAATTTGGCCTAAATTAAGCTAATTCGGGACATTATTCAAAATAAAACCCATGGGCGTTATTTTGCGCTTATACGATATTCGTTTTTTTCTCCATGCTCTTTAAAATTTAAAGCTTCTGCAATTTGCCTTATTTCATTAAGCCAATTATAACCATCACCATT